TTTTTTTTTTTTTTTTTTTTTTTGTTTTTTACCGTCTTGGGCCTTAGACCTTGGAAGGATGAAGCTTGAACGTGAGTATTATGGTAGTTGAGTTTCTGTGTATGGGACGCTGGAGCCGTTTTCCAGCAGGTGACAGGAGCATCCTTTCGACCTGTGTTGAGGACGTTATACACAGGCCGCATCCACACAAAATCAGGCGTTCTTTTTTTTTTTTTTGCCTTTCAATTTCGAATTCCATTGCTCATTGGACGTTTTTTTTTCGACAGTGGTGCGGCGACATCCCGTGTCTTTTTTTTTTTTGTTTGTTTCCCTTTTCTAACGATGAAACTTTGCTGGACCCACTAGCGAAGTATTCTACGACGTTTGACACATTGGGCCTCGCCATACCTATCCCGAAAACCCAAAAAAGTTCGGGAGCACTCCCGAATGGGGGAGATGTGAAAAAACCTTTCGAGAGGGCTCGTCGCCACACTGCGCTCTCCAAGGCGGCAGTCTCCAATTCGTCAGACGAGGCCAGACATTTTTTGGCGAGTGCAGAAGAAGGGCCTCGCCACACCACTCTCGAAATGTGCAAAATGAGAATGAACTTCCCGCTAGAACATGGCCAGATGCACCCGCCACATTTTTGTCTTTTTCACATTTCCAGAGTGGTGTGGCGAACCCAGACAAAACGGTGGCAACAGATGGTTGTCGGTCGAGGCGCACTCTCCAGTTTGGGGCCGAAATCGGAGGAGCCTCGGACCACCCCTCAAATCGGGTGCTTTGCAGGTGGGATGATCCACAAAGTTCGAGAGCACTCCCGAGAACCGCATTCTGTCCGCTCTCCGATTTTCGGGAGTTGGTGTGGCCATGCCACTTCTCTCCAAATCGCTGTTTTGGAGATAGGTGTGCTGTTTTGGAGATAGGTGTGGCGAGGCCCATTTTTATCCATTTTTATGGTTTTTTGGAAAAGATGAAGTTATTTTTCATTTGCATGAATGGATCATTTTCTGATTGAAAATGAATTGAAATGGCAAATAAAACGAAGAAGAACAGCTGTGCACCCGAATTCATGGGTTGGTACGATCTCCTTCACGTAAGTCTTCATAGTGATGCACGGTGGCAATAGAATGTGTCCACGAACACAGCCACAGGGATGAACTAGTAACGGTTATGGGGACTCATTCATCACTTTCATCACTATGGGCCTCGCCACACCTATCCCGAAAACGCAAAAAAGTTCGGGAGTGCACGCAAAAAAGTTCGGGAGCACTCCCGAACGTGGGAGATGTGAAATTTTTTTTCGAGAGGGCTCGTCGCCACACTGCGCTCTCCAAGACTGCGCTCTCCAAGGCGGCAGTCTCCAATCCGTCAGACGAGGCCCGACATTTTTTGGAGAGCGCAGACGACGGGCCTCGCCACACCACTCTCGAAATGTGCAAAATGAGAATGAACTTCCCGCTAGAACATGGCCAGATGCACCAGCCACATTTTTGTCTTTTTCATGAACTGCAAGGAACATGAATATGGACGAAGCACAGAAATCCAGATTGCAAAATCACACTGAAGTCCAAGTAGTCAAAGTAAGAGCAGATAGCACAATCGAACCGAGTCACCATCCATTTGAGAAAGATACAGAAGAATCGTGAGTCAATGTCCAAGCCCAACAGGGCAACACCAACAGCATAACCGAATGTAGCTCTCTCTCCTGAATGGCGCCAGGCGCCCTATCTACTCTACAGCCTAAGCCTACAACTGCAGCCTAAGCCTACAACTACAGCCTAAGCCTACAACTTGACGACCAGCGAGTGATGATGTCAACACCAATGCCGACCTCCAGCTCCACCAGGTACGTCTCCTCCTTCACCCACACTCTCCCTTGTTATCCCACACAGCGCACCGTCGCCCTCACCTCCCCTGCGCCCTCAGGCAGCCCGGCTATGGCCGCCAGCGCCCTGCGCAAACAGGCAGCGCCCTACCGCTTTAGTGCTAGCCTGCTCCCTCAGCCTTAGCGCAGCACAGCAGCTCGCGTTTGCGCAGCATGCCGGCAATGCCCGCACTGGCCAAGATCCCTGCCCACTCGTCCTGCTTGCCTATATGCCAGTGTTGCGTGTGGGCGGCCTCCCTTCAGCCTGCGTCTGGGCCCCAGTGCCTGAACCGGGCCCGATGCAGTTGAGGCCCAGGATGCAGTTGCGCCTCTTTTGTCAAGGCCTGCGGCCAGATTCAGATAGTGGGCCGATTTCCCTTTGGCATTTTCCGCCTCTATACCCAGCATGCATTGCCGGCCTCACGTTCAAGTGCCCAGGGCCTAACTAACTCAGAGGCCCTGGGATTTCCACATTTGCTGAGATCCGAGACTGGGTGCACTCCAACCAACTGGCGTGCTGCAACTGTATGGACCCCACTAATTGAAATGTTTGCACAGAGGGCTCTTGTTGATTTGCTGGCCCGCCTTCACTTAGGGCGGGCACGAGGCTTGCTGGGGCCTTAGCCCAGAACATGTACATCATGGCAAGGCCCCTTCTTGAGGGCTCAATCCTCACAAACCCAGACAAAACGGTGACAACAGATGGTTGTCAGTCGAGGTGCACTCTCCAGTTTGGGGCCGAGATGGGAGGAGCCTCGGACCACTCCTCAAATCCGGTGCTTTGCAGGCGGGGCGATCCACAAAGTTCGAGAGCACTCCCGAGAACCGCATTCTGACCTCTCTTTTCAAAATCTTTCTGACTGCGATTTTCGGGAGTTGGTGTGGCGATGCCACTTCTCTCCAAATCGCTGTTTTGGAGATAGGTGTGGCGAGGCCCTATGTATCTCATGCTGCCTCTAACAGGCCATCCGACAGAAGCGGAGGCGTTCCTGTCAGATCCTCCACAATATTTGAATTTCACGTTTCAAGTTGGGTTTTTCAGAGCCAAAAAAAAAAAAGCAATCCAGCGGCCTAACTCAGTTGGTAAGGCAAACAAGTGGCATTCAGGAGGTAGTGGGTTCAATCCCCATTGGCCTCATGTACCTTCCTGGGCATGCTTGGCGCCGGCCACCTAGAGATAGACCACTGGATCCCCCGATCAGCCTGAAGGGAGGCACAGGGATTGGTCATGTTGGCATGGTCCCTGATGCTACCGGCTGTCCCCTAGCCGGTATCGCCCACCTGCAGGTCGGGAGCAGCCCCCGCATTGGTGTCTCGTGTAAACACGGTTCTGGCTGCTACGGGGTTCCCGTATGCCTACAATTAGGAGTAGTCGTAGGTAGGTAGTGTGAGGTGAAATTGAGAGGAGAACATAGCTTTTTTGACAAAAAAAAAAAAAAAAGCGAAGTCTGGAAATCACCCCCCGACTTTAGAGCCCAAAAAATAGAGACTTCCCGCCCACGCGAAGTCACCAGCTATCATGTCCAGTTGTAGTTTTCTTTGTTTTTCTTTTTTTTTGGATGCATCTCATTGGACGGAGGTGGGCATCTTTACATTCCCCGCTGGAGAACTACCAGGCCGTCCAGATTGGATGTATTCGACGGCCATACTGCGTCACTCGAGGCCACACGTGATCCAAATCCTGAACGGACTGGTCGAATACTTCGCCGATGGGTCCAGGCCCCTGGGTCTTCAACATACCGTGTGGTGAAGGCGGTCATTGTGTCGAAACGGTGAATGTAGAAAATGGTCTGACAGTTGTTTCGGCACTGGTGTGCCGAGGCACTTAGTCTTTCAAAAACTGGGTTTATTAAACTCTATTTTGCATGCATTTTTATATCAGATTCTGCCTGTTTGTACTTTTCTGTTGCTGATTTTAGGGTGATTGGGCCTCCGTGCACTACTCTTGAATCTTGAGAAATCAAGAGTTCGCCACTGCTGCACTAACTCTTGATGCCGCGTCCTGAATTTTCATTCAAGCGCTGTGAGATTCACTCTCGAAATCGTCGAGAGTGAGTCGTCGCTGCACCAGCTGTGGAAAAGTGCTCTGCGTCGGGCGCTTCAAGAGGTGTCAGAAACGGCCCATAGGGCGAGCTCTTGAAGTTTCCACAGTTCCTGCATGCAGGGGCCTTTTTTTCAAACGAGGCAGACCGGTCCCTTCGTGCGGTTTGCAAATTCGAGAGTTGGCCTCCAGTCTCGATGGACAAATCGTCGCTGCCCTGTCGTGTAGTGTCTGTCCCACAGTCAAGAATGCTAACGAGAGTCGAGAGTTCAGAGTAAGTGCGGCGACGACAGCACTTGATGACAATAGAGGAGTCTGACAGCGCTAGACGTACTCTCTCTTGAAAAGTTTTGTGTGTCTGGGCCTAGTTGCACTACCGGCATAGGCCAAGTTTGGCGAGTAAACGCCTGGTTGCACTTACTCGCCAAACTTGGCGAATGCAAAATGTGTCCGACGGCTCGGCACACCGTCGACACAACTTGTGGAGAGTGAATTCAGTTTCCCTGCCTGTGCACGGCGGTTTGTGGAGGGTGGTCTAAGGACCTCGCCACAAAACAGCTTTCTGGAGAGTGCAGGGCTTCACGAGTCGACATGGGGGAGACAATTTTTTTTAACGTTTCTGTAGAAGAAATCTCGTGGCGAGTACGTGCAACCAGGCCTCGAGTTCGACACGATTCTCATATTTTTCACTCTCCACGGATCCGCCACGAAATGTGACGGATGGTGAGTAGTGCAACTAGGCCCTCTAGCGTGAGTACTACATTCTATATTCGATTTTTTTTGAATTCTTAAAAAAAAAAAAAAAAAAAAAAAACGGATTTTTGTTTCTATTTTAGTTCAGGACCTCGGCACGCCACACCACAGTGGAAAATGCCATTTTGGATAGTTTGTCTTGGCCACACAGGCAGTCCAAATTGC